CTCACCACAACCTCCGCCTCCTGGGTTCAGGCAATTCTCCTGCCTCAGCCTCCTGAGTAGCTGGGATTACAGGCACACGCCACCATGCCCAGCTAATTTTTTGTATTTTTAGTAGAGACGGGGTTTCACCATGTTGACCAGGATGGTCTCGATCTCTTGACATGGTGATCCACCCGCCTCGGCCTCCCAAAGTGCTGGGATTACAGGCTTGAGCCACCACGCCCGGCTCTCACTGTTTCTTTTTATGAAACCTTCCCTGAAACCACCACTTCCCCTCCCTGTCTCCAGGCAGAGGTGATCACTGTCACTTTGATACCATCACAGGACTTGATTATCCCATAGTGTAAACTTTATCACTTTGGATTCTTCTGAATCAAAAATCAGAGCAAATGAATGTCTGTCTTCAAGTTTCCTCACCTACAACATAGGATAAATACCTCATAGGGCTTTAGTAAGATGGAAATGAGCTAATGCATGTAAAGTTCTCAGAAAACTATCTGGGATATTAGTAAGCACCACATAAACACAAGCTATTAACATCCACTGTCTCCTTCGTTGTTGTGAGTTTCATGAGGCTTTTGTTATTTTGAGTTCTCCATTCACTCCAAGCTCTAGGCCCACATATCTAGATGACTATTTTACATTTTACCTGATTAAATAAAGCATATCAAGTTCCTTACATCTACACTGAAATGTTTACAGATAAGATAATAATGATACCTGGGATTGGCGTCAAAGTAATTCAAAGAAGGAGGGCAGGATGCAGGTAGAGATAAAACAACACCAATTATATCTCAACAACAGGTATAAACTGTATGCTAGGTATATTGGCTTTATTATACTATTCTCTCAAATGTTGGATGTATTTGAAGATAACCACTGTCATCCTAGATAACAGACAGAGACTCCCTAAAATAAATTGAGCTGGGCACAATCACTTTTGTAAACCCAACAATTTGAGAGGCCAAGGTGAGAAGATTGCTTGAGCCCAGGAGTTCAAAACCAGTCTGGGCAACATGGGGAGACCCTATCTCTACAAAAATTTTTTTTTTTTTTAATTAGCTGAGCACGTTGGTGCACACCTGTGGTCCCAGCTACTTAGTAGGCTGAAGTGGAAGGATCACTTGAGCCTGGGAGGTGAAGGTTGCAGTGAGCTGTGACTGTGCTATTCCACTCCAGCCTGGGTGGCAGAGTGAGACCCAGTTTCAAAAACAAATACATTAATAAATAAAAAGAAAACAACATTAATTCAGGAATGGACATTGCAAGGAAAATACACATGTCATAGTAAACTATGTCCATATTTGGGGAGGTAAAGCAAAACAAAGATTGGTAAAGGAAATACGAGGAGGATAATGTAATTGTTTTGAGATTATTCTTGGCTGCAATTATCAATAACAAAGGTGGCATCATTCCAAGGCTAGACAGGCAGTTGCTGGGCCGATGTCTTCACAGAAGTATTTTTTGTGTAAAGTTGTGATGGCCTTTATGCAAGATTGTGGTTTTTGCAAAGTATTTTGTGATAGCTTTGGTTATCAGGTATTTGCGCATGAGAAATTTCCCGTTATGGCCTTTCCTGGGTTTGTCAGGGTTTTTAACACAGGTGACTTCATTTTGATTCTAACAACTTTCACACCATGACAAAATATTTCAAACTTAATATGCCCAATGCTGAAATTGTAACATTTTCCAATCTTTCTTCCTGGTTTGGTGCCTGTCTCATAGATAGTATATTTTTATTTTATAAGCAGAGTGCCAATGGAAGGCTTTTGAGATGGGGTAATAGCATAAATTATTTTTAATTTCCTTCTACCTCTGTAGTTATTGAAATTATAATTAAAGCATTTGGAGAAGATTATTGTTACTATTATGGTGACATGCAGGATGGATTGGAGTAGAAAGAAGTAGAAAGAATACCCCATTGTGTCAAGTTATTTATCACCAGCCTGGAGCCTCAGTAAAAGATTTCGGCCGGGCGCGGTGGCTCAAGCCTGTAATCCCAGCACTTTGGGAGGCCGAGGCGGGTGGATCACCATGTCAAGAGATCGAGACCATCCTGGTCAACATGGTGATACCCCGCCTCTACTAAAAATACAAAAAATTAGCTGGGCACGGTGGCGCTTGCCTGTAATCCCAGCTACTCAGGAGGCTGAGACAGGAGAATTGCCTGAACCCAGGAGGCGGAGGTTTCGGTGAGCCGAGATCGCGCCATTGTACTCCAGCCTGGGTAACAAGAGCGAAACTCCATCTCAAAAAATAAATAAATAAATAAATAATAAAAGAAGATTTCAGTTCTCTGCAAAGAGAGCCCTGGAAATGGATCTTATAAATCTTCTGTAGCCCAGTTGCATTCTGGTTAGAAGAGTACCAGCTTTTCTCCCTGTCTTACTGAACACTGGAGCTCACCTGTGTATTTATTTATCCATTGAACAAGGATTTATTGAATGACATATTATGCCCTAAGTTCTGAGGCTGAAGGCATCAGAAAAGGAGGAGTTGCTCTGCCACAGTCTCACCTCCAGGAAAGGTATACAGACATTGAGTGTGCTTACACAGCACCAAGCTCTGGCACTTCCAAGAAGCCAAGATGGTTCTGAAATTCTGACCCGATTCAAGGCTTGTTTCGATCTAAGGTGACCATGTGTCCAGGTTTGTGAAAAACAGTCCAGTGCGTAGCTCCATGAGAATTGTTAAGAGTGTCTGTCGCCAAGTACTGTCAAATATGTCCCAGTTTAAATAATAAATTATAGGGCCACCCTTTCCTAGTCCCAAATTAATCTAAGAGGGCAAGATTCAATCTTACAGGCAACTTGTCCCTCTTGCTCCTTCCTATTGCACATCTGGGTCCCTAGGAAGCCCTGGGCTAAGGCAGATCTTGACATTGGCAACCATAAAATTGCCCTGCTAAAAATCTCCAAAAAGAACGTAAATTCGGACAACCTCTGCGGAAAACAGTATAGAGAGTTCTCAAAGAACTAAAAGCAGATCTACCATTCTATCCAGCAATCCCACTACTAGGAATCTACCAAAAGGAAAATAAGTCGATACATCAAAAAACACCTACATGAGTATGTTTATCACAGTACAATTCACAATTGCAAAGATATGGAATCAACCTAAGTTCCCATCAACTGATGAGTAGACAAAGAAAATGTTATATATATATGTGTGTAATATATATATTTTATATTTATACTATATATATTAGTATATATATTTTATATATATATAAATAGTATTTTATATATATACTAATATATAGTACTATATATATAATATATACAGTAATATAGGTAACAATATAGTTATATATATGGTAATATATATTATATATATAAATAATATAGTAATTAATATATATATAAAACACATGGGAACAGAGGGTTTAAGGGTTTGACTGACGAAAAATGCAACCAAAACTCTTATTACTCTGACTTGCTATGTTGTCCTTTGGACTGTTTTGTTCAGTGGCTTCTCTCATTCTGACTTCTGAGCTCAGATCTTCATTTTTATCACGCCACTTCAACTTCTTTATGTAATCTCAAACTCTTTCTCAGAGGTATTAAACTCCCCTGAACTCCCTTATTTAACAGATGAGAAAATTCACCATACAAGGAAATTGTATCGTGAATTTTACAATCAAGATTAAATAGTGGCTAAGTTCAGATCAAGCACCTTGTCAATGTTGGCAAAGCTTCACAATCCCCTTGAGAGCCACACGCTGAGGAAGTTTACTACGTACATAAAGCAAGCTTTATAAACCATTTCACCCTCAGGCACAGTGGCTCACGCCTGTAATCCCAGCACTTTGGGAGGCCGAGGTGGGAGGATCACCTGAGGTCGGAAGTTTGAGACCAGCCTGACCAACATGGAGAAACCCCATCTCTACTAAAAATACAAAGTTAGCTGGGCGTGGTATTGCATGCCTGTAAGCCCAGGTACTGAGGAGGCTGAGACAGGAGAATCGCTTGAATCCGGGAGGCAGAAGTTGCAGTGAGATCATGCCATTGCACTCCAGCCTGGGCAACAAGAGCAAAACTCTGTCTCAAAAAAAACAAAAACAAAAAACAATACCCCAAAGACATTGGACTGTGCCTTAAAAAGAAAAATGAAGATCAATGAGGACAGAGACTCTGCCCAGGGCATTGATTACGCATACCTGAAGACTATTTATTTGAAATCCTTCTGATGTGTCACTGTCAGGACAGCAGTGACCACTGCAAGCTAATATTTGTTGAATGACAGGAATTCCTGCAGACACTGTCAGAGAAGGGCAAACGAAGATTCTCGAGTGCTGATCAAGCTCTTGGAGAGCTCAGTTAGTGGTGACCAATTGCAACACTGTGCTCTCCAGTGAGCTGGCAAGGCCAGCCAAGGCAAAGTGAAGAGGAAGTGGTGCTTTGTGGCAGATGACCTAGAATCAGTACCTGGTTTCTCTACCTCCATGGGCATATGGCCAGTCCTAGGCTATCACGAAGAAGCAGTGGTAGTCAATGTTCTTTAATAAATGAAATCCTTAATGTGAGAAAATCAAAAGCCATTGGAAGCCTCTATTTGCTCTGAGCAGGCCATTTTCTAAAAGCAACTCTGGTGTGTAACTTTGTATAACTAGGTATGTTTTGGGGGGTTGTCTTGCCGTTACTTCCTTCAGTCCATTAATATGGAGAAAGCATCTCTCACCACACCATCAGCTTAAACTGTTGAATCCTGCCTGAGCCAAGTTAATGGATGAAGTCCCTGGAGGATTTTCAGGTGAAAGGGAAGCAGGAGGCTGCTACCCAAGAGAAGACAGAGGTGTTAAAGCTGCTTTTGTGTTTTTACCTCAGTGCAATATAAAATCAACATTTAAGATATAGATTAAATTCTTTTTATAATTAGCTTAGACTGTAATATCCTTCCAATGGTCATTTTTCTACAAAACCATCTTTAACCATTTGCCTTTATAATTCTTAACGACGTTGGCCCACTCCTTAGAAATTTCAGTAATGATTCAAAATCAGTACAGTAAGGAAAAAAATATTTATTTTCTAAAGTCATTACCTTGACAGGCAAAACAAAGCATGTTCTCAATTTCATTTAGAAATACATATTTTTAAAATACATAGACCAATATGGCCTGCCCAAACAGATATTTAACATGGTAAATATAAGGAATAAATTGTTTGAATATAAATATCTATAAAAAAATAAGTACATCAAAATTCAATCCAACCTCTTTCATTAGCTGGTTATATAAAGGAAAATAATTTTACTGCTTTAAAGCATAACCAACATTTACTTTTCAATATATTTCATAGACAACCTATACCATTGTGTCTCCGAAAATCAAGGACAGGGAATCTCCTGATTTAATGATCTTTTTTTATCTTATGGATCAGAGCTAGTAGATTACTAGGAAAATATTATATCTACTGCTGACACATTAGACCAGACTTCTCTGAGGCTAGAATTTAGTATGGGGGATGGGGAAGGGGGCAGCAGGAGAAGAGTTTGGGGAGGTAATAATTAAATGTGGGAAATACTTCTGCCAGAGTGCAATATAGTTGAGGTAGACTCATAATTGTGAAACATAACCTGATTTATGGTAGTAACAGTTTCATTTAGTTTTGCATTTTACCAATTTAAACAAAAGTCTTTTTTTTTTTTTTTTAACTTGCATGTTTGCCTTTTGAGTATGTTTTCAATTTGTGCATTCCTTAGAAATCTTTGCGTGGACTTTGGAGTTTCTCCCTGAAATGTGCCAGGCGCCTGAGTCAGACACAAACACTCCCTTAGGACCTTCGTCAGAAACTCCACCCTTCTGTGGAATCTCCTTCCTCTCTCTGAGGATGCCACCTGAATTCGAATGTCACTGTGTGTTTCTGCTTTCTGAGAGGTCCATTGTTATCCCCACATGAAAGGAGAGACCAAAGCAGTTACCACCGATGGAAGCCAATGAAGACAGTTTGGGGGATCCTTAACCTTTCTTGGAATGTTTTGGACGAGGACGCTGGTCCTTTGCCAGTCAGGAACAAGCAGAGAGGATGCTCCTGCTCTGATCCCGGCAAGGGTGGAGAGTGCAGAATCGGCCACGGGACTCTTCGTGGAGACTATGGCTTCAGACAGGCCTGGAAGGTCTGTCACCAATGTGCTCGGTTGTGGGTTACACTGTACTCCCTGGAGGGCTTGGTTTTCAGCTTGGAATCACGAGAAGATTGTTTGACCTTGTTGCTGATGGTCTCTGACCTAATAAAGCAAGATAAGAAAAAACAAATGTTAGTTTAAAAAATCACCCCTTGGCAAAAGAAACATCTAAAATTAGAATCTGGCACAAACAAAATCTAAATCTGGTTGTGAACTTTCACCACCCACTGCAACTCTTTGAGAAAACCTCAAGTGGTATCTGTTACCATAGTATAAATAAAGCCTGCCCCTATGCTCAGAATGGGAGAGAGGGGTCCTATGGTCAAGTCTAAGGGGAATTGAGCAGTAAATACAATAATACAATTTTTTTTTTTTGAGACTGAGTCTTGCCCTGTCACCAGGCTGGAGTGCAATGGCACGATCTCGCCTCACTGCAACCTCCCGGGTTCAAGCGATTCTCCTGCCTCAGCCTCCAGAGTAGCTGGGACTATAGGTGCACACCACCACACCTAGCTAATTTTTGAGTAAATACAATGTTTAAATAACCTAGAGGTGTTCTGGTTTCTTCTGTAGCCTCAGCCCAACCTTCACCACTATGCGACCTTGCGTTGAAGAACTCAGCATAGGTTTTGAATAGTTACAGGCATCTTAATGAATTAACAGGTACTTAGTGGAAAAGAGAGATAAAGAAAAGAAGCATACAGTAGGCCCTGAGCAAATACTTTATGGCAATTATTTTAAAAAAGAATTTTTTTGCAGGCCTAATGTTTTCTTTTTATAGGAGAAATACAGACAGAAGAACTATAATGTTGATTTAATAGTTGGCATAATACAAACTCATAAAAAGATTCCAGGTTAGTTCAGAAACTGATCTTGTGGGAAGTATTACTGGCCTGGAACCATAAATATGGAAACTCTCATGGCAGGGGTGAAGGAACTGATGGCTGAGGCTGCCCCACAAATCAGCAATAAACAACTCAGAAGTAGCTCATGACTGCCTGGCCTGAGCTCAGAACACTTTAATCATAGGACTTCTTGCCACTGGATTTCTAGGAAAAGTTTTCATAGACCATGATAGAGAAATGCAGAACATGTGATAGATGGGAGAGTAGGTTTCCTCCTTCAAGCCTTGTGAATTCCAAAACGTTTAGAATTTGGAAAGGTTATCACCAAAGAGCAGCTCAGATGTTGCCTAATCCAGATCCCTTCTCTGTCCCAGCGCATGACTGACCAGGAAAAGAGAGAGCTTTTTGGAACGATACTGGCTCTGCACCAGAATACATTTCCCTATTAAAATAAAAATCATAAACCTGAAAAACAGCATGTTCTAAATTCTACCAAGCCTATCTAATGACTTCATTTTTCCCTCGGCCATCTGAATAACTGCTACTTTTTGAAGAACTTGATTATCCATGCATGACATTTTGATTCTTTTTCTAAATGTCCTCTCCCCAAAATGATTCTTGATTTCTCAGGGAAAGTGGTAAACATGTTGACTCAGAGAGGTAAAAGCTGTATATGACCGAATGACAAAGGCATCTCTGGATATATTTTGGTTGGGAAATCTACCTGTAGATGAAATGGTACGTGCTAAAAGTAGAGAGGGCATCCGTTTGCATTCCAGAGCTTCACGGAAATATTTAGGAGGAATTCTTTTGCTCTTTTTAATCTTTCAAATGCATAGATCTCCTTGTTACTGTTTTCTAAGTGTTTCCCCTGCCCAGGTAAGAAGGGCTGGAGGAACAGCCACTGCCGTCACTGACCGGGGCTGGCTGTACTTGTGAACCTCTTCCTAATTTTACTTCCTTCCCTCTTACCTGTTTTGTCTTAGGCGTTCATCTGAATTTCTTCTGATTCTTCTTCCTCTCACTAACTGCTGACGAGCAAACCTTTTCCCAAGCTTGATACAGTGTTTTCCTTTCTTATGGGTATCCCGGGCAATCTCCATACTGTCTAGGGCCCTGTTAAAATACACAAGGAAAAACATTTCAGCAATATTATCTTCGGATTTACCTTGGCTTTCAATGCCTCTGTTACTGTCCCTGAAACAGGAAGACAGCACCATGATAGGAAGGAGATCAGAAGGCTGTTAAACGGATTGAAAAGCAAAGGTGTTTCTGCTCACCCGAGTTCTCTTCCTGCCTGGCAAAAATTCCAGCACTTATTGTCTTTTTGGCTTGCACATTGGCATCTATTCTTGGGGGCTGCTGCTGCCAGTGGGAGAAGTAAATTCTCCAAGGCTCGCTTGGCCCTAGGGCTTCCAAGTCCATATGGAGCAACGTGCCTATTATCCAAAGAGAGGAAGAAAAGATATTAGCATAATTAATAGTCTTTAAAATGACACAAGGGCACACCCATTCCACTGAGTACACAGGGAGCTCATCACACAGTACTTGGGAGTGTCATTTCAGAGGGTGAAGTGTCACAGTTAGGAACACCTGTGCATCAGTGGCCCTGACTGCATGTACCTAAGCAAGAAAAAACAAGTTTTTCTTTTTTTTTTTTAAGTGTACTTTACGTTCTGGGGTACATGTGCAGATCATGCAGGATTGTTGCATAGGTACACACATAGCAGTGTGGTTTGCTGCCTCCATCCCCCTGTCACCTACATCTGGCATTTCTCCCCATGTTATCCCTCCCCAACCTCCCCATCGCCCCCAGTGGAATTCCATTTCAATTCTTCACAAAGTTCAGTTTCTTCTTGACACAAGCAACATTGTTTATTTTTTGTCAAAAATTAAGACATCTCTGCTTGGCAACTGCTTTATATTTTCTTCCTTTTCTAATGGTCTATTTAATTAACAACCATTTGTGGGTATACAGTGGGAAGATACTTCAATGCAAAATCATGACTCACGAATTTTTTTTTTTTTTGAGACAAAGTCTCACTCTGTCGCCCAGGCTGGAGTGCAGTGGCAAGATCTCGGCTCACTGCAACCTCCGCCTCCTGGGTTCAAGCGATTCTCCTGCCTCAGCCTCCTGAGCAGTTGGGATTACAGGTGCATGCCACCACACCCAGCTAATTGTTTTTGTAGTTTTAGTAGAGACGGGGTTTCACCATATTGGCCAGGCTGGTCTTGAACTCCTGACCTCATGATCCACCCGCCTCGGCCTCCCAAAGTCCTGGGATTACAGGCACGAGCCACCACACCCGGGCAACTCACAGGATTTTTAAAACCTATTTTCAATTCAAACCATGTAGGATAATGCGAAAAGTGCCCCCGCCGTAGGGGGAGGAGGAGATACATGTTCGCACATTTCTCCTGCCATTGGGTGATATCTTATGGTTGTGGAAGGACTCATTGCCAGAGGGTTCTTCAATAATTTCCAGTGCGTCCATTTTGATTCTCATCTAAGAAATAAAGTCCTCGCTTTGGAAGTATCCCCTTAGTAATTCTTAGGCTCTTTGTGGTTTGTGGTTTGGTTTGATAGTGTTTGGATTTTGGTTCTCCTTCGCCAAATGGGACACTAAACGCACAGTAAATGTGTGCTTGTTCCTGACTGCTTCTGATAGGGGATGAACTAGTGTCCAGGGCAGAGGGGAAACACTGTTTTTCTTCTCTGTAGGTGAAAGAGAAGCCTATGGCCAGCATCTCTATTTCTGTTCTGAAATGGGCATGTCTAAAGAGAAAATATCGCAGCAAAGGAAAGCCAAGCTCCAGTTCTGTCTCTGCCACAAACTCTTTCCTGCACAAATGACTGCAATATTTTGAGCCTAGGTGTTTGTATAAGTAAAATTAAGAGATTCTCACCCTCTATATAATCCCTTCTGCCTCTCAGTCTCCACCCTCCCATGAGAAGCACAGGTTGCCCTAACCCACATCTGACCTCGGCCATTCCCTAACCCTAAACCCTGTCAGATACACTGTGACAGTGTCCCCCAGAGGCTCCCCTCACTGAAACTTCCTCATTTGAAATGTGCAGCGGCCTCATGCTTATCCTCAGCTCCTTCTGTCTATCCCATCACTGGTAGCCTGAGCTATGGGGCCCCAGAAGACCCTCCGCTTGGTTGCTAAAAACCAAGCCATTGCTATTTTCAGGAATAGAGGGAAACTATGATGAAAGGCTACCCTCAGAGTCCCTAGAAAAGAGACTCTAAAACTGGGCTTCTGGTGAAGCCAGAGCTAATGAATGACTAGGGTTACGATGCCCTCTAGAGACTTACTCGGGAGTGTTGACCCAGATGATGTCCAGGTGGCAAAAGTAGACACACTCTTTATCCATCAGGGACGAGCAGGAGCAGCGCTTGGACCGGCGGAGCCTCAAGGGTGGACTGGGAGTGGGTTTTCCCCCGCTGTTCTCACCCACTGTGCTGAGCTCAGCGCCCAAGACCGCTGGGGAGAGAAAGAGCAGGTCAGTGTGTGATGTCTCCTCAGAGGCCCAGAGACATGCTGGATCACAGTAGGGTCAGAGCTAGCAAAGCAGATAAAAGCAGATGAAGCACACAGCCTGCCTGCCATCAGCAAGAAACACAGAAAAAGGGCTCTATATTTTTTCCCTCCTTAACATGACTTCACCTTTTGCCTCCCCCTCATCCTCTTGGCTTATCCACCTTCAGGGAGATTACACAAATGCAGAGGAGACAAATGCCTGAAAAGGGACTTCCCCCACCCCTCTTGAAGCAGGCTCAGGGAAATACTTCGGAATGCTGCCTGTTGAAAATCTGGTTGGCTTCTGCAAGGAACTTAGTAGGACAGCACAATCCACTGTGGCTTAACATTGACACATGATGAAAGACAAGAAATCGCACTGTTGTTCCTAGCTTTGGGACCACTTCCCCATTCAGGATGACCCTCTCTTTAGAGGGTATCCACCCACTGCACACCTTGTGTAGGGCACAGAGTACCCCAGATAATATATACCTTTCGAAATTAGGTGGGGGAAATGATTGGAGAGAGAAATTAACTATACAATATTCATTTCAGGAGGGTAACTCCATAGAAACCAGTGACCTAAGGTGGAGCTGAGAAGCAGGTCAGGGGACCTAGGGAAGGCTGCATGGATTGTGAATTCCAAATCCCTGGGCATCAAGCTCCTGTGGGATCCGCTGCCTCCCCCTTCCCCACTACTGCCTTGCCTCTTCCTCCTGATAATTTAGCCGTGCAGCTTATCTGCCCAATTTTGTACATTTCAAATGATCAGACACATTCCAGGATTTTCATTCCCTTGACATCCTTTCTCTTTAGTAAGGGTCACGAGAAGACAAAAAAAGTGCACTGACCCCAAAAACAGGGGGACCCGGGCAGATGCACACGCACTGCCTAAATCCTTAAGCAGCCAAGAATTATCCTAGCTCCCCTCCCAGGACAGGTGAATAAAACTGAAAAGAGAGCTCACACTGTGTTGGATGCCAAAAACCTGCCAAAAGAAACCTAAAGTCAATAATGACAAATTTCAAAGAAAACATCTGCTTCACCCAGAAACTGCCTGCGGGGGCGGGGGGGGGGGTGTAGTCAACAGACTTTTGTTCTGCAGGTGATTTTACTGCACATATACTGCTTGAATGACTGACTTGGATAAAATTCCTTGGCTTCAAGCTGGAATGCTTAAATATTTTACACGTTAACACACTATTAAAACAGTGTTTAAGTAAGGTTTAAGTTCCTATATGTCCTGTGTATTTGTATAAACACATATATTGCAAACATACATTTGACAAAATTGTATCTTGCCCATACTCTTATTATTCAAAAGCCAAGGAAACACACAATGCAATAATAATAACAAAACAGTAAGTTATTTTAATACCATGTTATAGTTAATTGTACCTAATTGTATCCAATAAAGGAGTCTTAACATTTTTCACTAGAAAACTTAAGTAGCTTTGAGCCATAATTCTCAGACACTTGCTCTCTAAGCTGCAGTCTTAAAAAGAACGGGGAAAAACAGGAGTAAGAAAAGCACGAAAGTGGATAAGAGCACATTAACTTGTAATTCCGAGACGGTACAAGTCAGCGAGCGTGCCTACCTGTTTCTGGAGCTCCTTGGAAAGCCGCCAACAGCAGAAAGAAAATCATGGGCAAATAATCCATTCTGAAAAAAAAAAGGGATCAAAAACCTTCCGTGCAAACTGAACCCAAAGGAAAACGAAGAAAAACAGCTTCAGGTCCCTCACAGCGCTGCGGGTTGCTCAGATCTCAAAGCGACCCTTCAGCCCCAGTGCCCTTTAACGGGGAGAGAAGGCAGCGGCTGGCAGGAGAGAAGGCAGCGAGCGGAGCGTCTGCGGGCGCACGCGGCGGCGGCGATCCCGGACTGCAGGAGGCGCAGGACCCGCTCGCCTGGCGCAGATGCAGAGGCGCGTCTGACTTGGACAGCTCTCCGCCGGCTTTTATATTGAACCCCTATTCGAGTGGGGGTAAACAGCTCCAACTTTATTCCAGCCTCAGACAATGTTATTGTGTTATTAGTCACCAACAGGCAACGTGCAGCCGGAGATAAGGTCAGGCCCGAAAGGAAATCACTGCTAACTTCAGAGGCAGACGCCCGCCGTCTGACAATTCGGGGGCAGGGCTAAGAAAAAGAAAATACCCATTAGAGACCTTTGCGAAACCTGCCCGTGCAGTGCTGGAGTCTGCTTCCCCTTTGCAAGCTGCCAGCTCCGGAGTTCAAGAATCAGGAGAGGGGACTCCAGAAAAAAAAGTCATACCATTGGTATGAAAAGTATGAGCCACAGTTTAAATAGATTGTATTGTTGTGAGCCGGGGAATTTTTTTTTAATTGTTGTTCACTTCATTTTCCTTTTATGTCTCTCCGATTCTAGTCTCGGTCAAACAAGGGACTGCCCTCCCTCGTCACTCCCCCCGCTACTGGGGGTCAGACTATTTTGGCAGATCAACATACATTTTTCTCTTCAAGCCCCCTTCCTGCGGGTTTTTTTTTTTTTTTTTTCTTTCTAAAGTTCTTTGCATCTATGGGAGAAAGATCCGTGAGGGATTGGCAAGAAAGGGAAGCTTTAAAAAAAATTATAGCTCGTTTAGGCGCATACCCAATCCTTTCCCTATCACTGATCAGAAGCCCGCATAAATTCTTTTGTGTAACCACGCTTCCCCTGTGGAGAAGGCTGTTGAACTGATTGAAACGCAAAGGTGTATTTCATACAGGAATTTAAATCGTCAGCTCGATCCGTGCCACCAATCTTAAGACATGGCGGGAGAAGAACACCAGGGGGAGATGAAGAGCTGCAGGGGTTGATGTTTTACTAGGACAAAAAGTAAAAGCCTTCCAAATGGCAAGAAAACGCAACCTGCCTTGGGGGCCCGATGAAGGTCAAGGAATGGTGTCTAACACAGGAAAGAGGAATGCGCTTCGGATTATTCCATTTGCTCCCCGCACAAGCAGGGACATCTTTTCTGGGACTTTTTTTTTTTCTTTTTTTGGCGGGGATTGCGGGGGGTGCCCTTCATTTAGGGCAAAAAAATGTGTTCTTATATAAGGTTAAGTGAATATTCGAGGAGGGTGATGTTGAGAAAGAAGAAATGTCATTCGAACAAGGAATCAGATGATACCTCACCTTTAGTAATGTGTTTACATTTTCTAAACAATTTCCTGTCTATTTTACTTAGAAATACCCCTCTGAAGTGCCACACGGGGCAGTTACTGTACAGGTGACAACATGCCTTAATAAAATAAGCAAAACGACCATGGGACACACTGGATTTTTCCACCAGTCCCATTTTTCAGGTGAGACAACTGAGCACCCAGAATTTTTGTTTGTTCTCCACCAAAGTGCTCACAGTGGCCCAGTAAGACCTATGGGATAAATCTAGAGTCTCTTTCCAGGAGACGACATCAAATCCACACTGTGCCCATCTCCTCTTTTTTGTTTTGCTCCAGTTTTTCTGGGGATGGATGGTGGAATTCAAGCATGGATGAATTTCCAAAGCTGGCACAATACACATGCTGGGAAACCTTTCCTCCCTCTTCCTTCTAAAATCAAAAGGACGATTTTTGTCCCAACAGCAAAGCCGTGGGTTTGGACAGCTCAGACCCTCAGATCTCCCTGGAAGTCACAGTCGGGGGACAGTGGCAGTGACAGGTCCATAGTGACATGTGTCCCCTAAAAAAGCCACTGAGGCAAGAGTCAGAGATGGGAGAGAGAAGCAAGAACTCTCCCTCCCACACCCACACCCACATCCAGAGATGCCTCCACTCTATCCCTAAGGCCTCTGCCTGGGCCTCTGGCCTCACGGTGCGCTTACCTCAGCCCAGCCCCAGGGCCTAGCCACAGCTCCCCGAGGACAGGCAGCACCGAGCAGGAAGCCAGTGCTGCCGTCTGTGCCAGGCAGGGGTGCCCTGATCTCCCTCGGGCAGCAGACCTCGGGAGAGGAGAGGAGAGCTGATGTCACATTCAAAGGATCCAAGCGGCGACCCCTACCACCCCCCGCAGAATAAAGGTGGCCTGGGAAATACGTGTTGGCAGGGATTCCCCCAACTTTTTTTTTCTTAACCTTTTGGCAACTTTGACCAAACACTGGCAACAGTCAGGACCAACTTGTCCTCAAGGCCCTACCTGGGAATCACCACCCCTTCCTCCCCTTTATTCTCAGGTCCAGCCTGGGTCTCCCAGCCCAGTATACGCCAACCCACCTTGCTGAGGCTGCCCCTGCAGGTTCCAGCAGCGTCCAGCCTTCAGGGGGAAAAGTGGAGCAAAATGAAACTGCCCACGTGCCTCCAGCAGCGCTCCCGCCCCATCTGTGTCATCCAGTGAATATGAATTGGAAACACAAAACGTGGCCAGCCATCCGCCCACACCTGGGCCTTCTCGAGCTCAGGGAAAGTAAATAATAAGGAAGAAAGGATTTCAGACCTGGAAGGGCCCCACCGTGCCAATATAATGTTGCCCCTGTCTCTTTGTATCCTGACTTTCGTGTGCCTCCATGTGCGTGCGTGTACGTATGTGTGTGTGTGTGATAGTGCATATGTATCTTTATGTCTCTTTCTTTGTGTGTGTGTGTGATAGTGTCTATTTCCATGTCTCTTTGTGTGTGTGTGATAGTGTGTCTGATAAAGTGTGTATGTATTTCCATCTCTTCCTGTGTGTGTGTGAGATAGAGAGCATGTGTATATGTATTTCCATGTCTCTTTCTGTGTGTGTGTGTGTAATAGAGTGTGTGTATGTATTTCCATGTCCCTTTCTGTGTGCGTGTGTGTGTGTGTGTGTATGATAGAGAGAGTGTATGTATTTCCAAGTTTCTTTCTTTATGTGACAGGGGCAAGGGGTGGCATCTGCCTTCTCTGTCCCTCTCTCCATCTCTCCCTCTGGCAGCAGCCCCCTTTTCCTCCTGTAGAGGCCTAGGTAAGCCCAGTTCAAGCCCACAGAAGGCAGCTAGGGCACTGCCAGGCAGCCTCCCAGCAAAACCTTTCCCAAAGAATCAAGAAGTGGGGGGAAAGAAGAACCCCAACAAACCAGTTTTACAAGCTAGATACCCCACGCCTCCTCCATTTAAGGCACTGCTAGATAGAGAGTGGGGGAGAGGAAGGAGAGGTTAAAATAGCAGGACAAAGGAGTGCAATATGCAGGCTGCCTTCATAGCCCCACCACACCCTACCCCTCAGAGGACTGCAGGGGGATGATGCTCTTCAGCCACAGTCATTCTCAGAGAGGAAAGGGAAGGAAGGGAGCGATGTAAAGAGGAGGATTTTTTTCCCCCAATAGAAAGTTTGCTGTGGCTGTACTTGCTTTTCTTTTTAGAGACAGGGTCTCACTGTCTCCCAGGCTGGAGTGCAGTGGTGCAGATATAACTCACTGCAGCCTCAATCTCCTGGGCTCAAGTGGTACTCCTACTTCAGCCTCCCGAGTGGCTGGAACAACAGGCTCAAGCCACCATGCCCAGCTAAGTTTTAAAATTTTTTTGTAGAGACAGGGATCTCACTATGTTGCCTAGGCTGGTCTTGAAATCCTGGCCTCAAGCGATCCTCTTATCTTGGCCTCCCACAGTGCTGGGATTACAGGCATGAACCACCACTCCTGGCCTGTTCTTGCTTTTGAGGCTACACTTGAATGCTGGAAATTATTTGATAAAGTTACTTTTTATGTATTTCTTCCTGTATCTCTGTATTAATAGATATCTAGAAATAAAACATGCTGAGTCCCAAGTACAGATACTAAACAGTAGCAAAGTGTACTGTTTTTAGCACCCCAGCTTTGCTTTCTCAACTTTTGCGTAATAAAATTTGTTACTTTGCTGAGCCAATACATTCGTTATGAGATGTTGCATTTAGCTCAGCAAAGCTAACAGTCGTTAAGTTGCTTGAAAATCACACAAAGAATGAGGAAGCCTTTTCACAAAGAATGAGGAAGTCTAGGCAAGGTGAAGATATGCACAGCACTAGGCCAGGTTCAGTCTTGGGTTGGTGACTACTGGACATTTCTACTTTATGTAGCAACTTAGTGAAAAATTATGTAATATAGTTAATGTGAAAAAGTATGTAATATAGTTAACAGGCCTGTGACACATCACACATCACACAAAAGAGTATTTCCAATTCTCTAACCTAGCATTTCCCAAGGCTCAGTCATCATTAAACGGCTTCACAATTTTTACCATATTTGGGTGCCACCTGTACATTTTTACATAATATTTTCCTTTTAACTGACTTGTTTATTTTACATGAAAATTTTTAAGAAAATTTTATATCATTACTATTGTAAGCAATAGTAAACATGAAATCATGGTTGGTATGGCTAAAAAAATCTATGGTTGGTATGGCTAAAAAAAATCTACATGAAATCATAGTTTAACACATGCTAAACATTTAATTATACATTCATTAAGCTATTAAAAATAAAAATGTTCATACATGTATCTTATATACTAACACAGGCACGCTCACCACCCTTGGGGAACATGCCCACCACTGCTCCGTCAACTGCATTATCTTATACCTTCTTCACTGAGAGTTAAGCCCTGTTTCAAGTCCTGTCTCTGACCTTTACTTTCAAGATAACTTTCAGATATTTCACATAAGGCAAGGTGCTGTGGCTCATGCCTGCAATCCCAGCACTTTGGGAGGCTGAGGCAGGCAGATCATGAAGTCAGGAGATAGAGACCATCCTGGCTAACATGGTGAAAGCCTGTTAAAAAAATTTTTTTTAATTAGCTGGGCACGGTGGCGCATGCCTGTAATTCCAGCTACTCAGGAGGCTGAGGCAGGAGAATTGCTTGAACCCGGGAGGTGGAGGTTGCAGTGAGCCAAGATCTCACCACTGTACTCCAGCCTGGTGACAAAGTGAGATTCCATCTCAAAAAAAAAAAAAAAATTCCATACAAAAACTCCTAAAGATGCATCTCAAAAAAAAGATGTTCTGGCATCTCCAATCTAGAAAAACACAGGGTTTACATCCCGAAAAGTTTTTAGGATACCTTCCTCTTGGCTTTTTGCTTCAGTGTTGCAACAGTTATCTTTTCTCTCACTTCCCACCCTCTCTTTAAATCTCTCTCTGAGTGCCACTGACACACATCCATGCACACATCTGAACCAATAAAGTAGACTAAGAGAAAATAGTGATATGATTATGTATTAGTAATTAATGATTAATAATTATATTAGAACATTATTGTTTGTGGATAATTTATTATTATTAACATTAGAATCCTATTTCGCACATCTCAGAAAAATGTGACAGCCTGTGGCTGCCTCCTCATCTTTTAAATGTTCATTCTATGTCATGAATGACATCTGAAACTAAAGGGACTCTGATGCAGGGAAAGAAGACTACTTGAGGGTGAGGGGAGTGGAGCCAAGTCACTTCATTAAGTCTCATTTGTGGAGTCATTTCAAACAAGCTTTCCATGTGTCTGAATGGGGTGGCAGATTTCATGGAAATATGGCAGCTACCTACATGGTTTCTTTCTTTCCTATTTTCCTTCTTTCAGTCCTTCCTTCCTTCCTTTCCTTCCTCCCTTCCCTTCCCTTCCTTCCTCTCTTCCCTTCCCTTCTTTTTTCTCCTTTTTGTCTTTCTTTTCTTCCTCTCCTTCCTCCCTTCCCTCTCTTCCTTCCCTTCCTTCCTTCCCTCCCTTCTCTTCCTATTCCCTTTCCCCTCCCCTCCTCCCCTCCCTGTCCTTCCTTCCTTTCTTCGATCCCTCCCTCTGTCCTTCCTTCCATCTTTCTCTTTTTGTTTCCTTCTTTCTTTCTTTCTCTCCTCTCTCTCTCTCTCTCTCTCTCTCTCTCTCTCTCTCTCTCTCTCTCTCTCTCTCAAGTTTCCACTCTGTCACCCAGGCTGGAGTGCAATCACGGCTCACTGCAGCCTTGACCTCCTGGGCTCAAGCAGTCCTCCCACCTCAGCCTCTTGAGTAGCTGGCAATATGATGCATTTCTTTTTTTTGTTTTGTAGAAGTTTATTTGGCACATCAAATATAGTGGCAAAAAAATTATCTTCAACCATTATCAATTTTTGTGTAATAAAAGGTCTTTGGTGTCCTACTAAAATTCAGAGAGCTATCCTAAAATAATAGTGAGAAATTTCAAATGAAATTTGAAATTTCTCACTATTTGAAATTCATTTTCATGTAAGAAATCCAGACTCAGAAAACTTCCTTTACTCCATTTCTCAAATGTGATGTGCATCCATGTTTATCGAGCCCCCACTAGGGTCAAAAGGAATTCTAGATACGTTGTGTGTCCCAATGTAAAGATAGCATGGCTTTTATATTCGCTAGTCAATAGACTGATGCGGGATTAATAGATACCCCTGGAGAAAAAGCGATACTGGTGAAAAAAAAGATAACGATGATCGGGATGAAGAAGCTGAGGCTCCTACAAGGCAGCTATGATGACACAAGCTACAACGCAACTTGAGAAAAAGTCTGAATGGAGGTTTTAAAGGGTAGTGGGAAAGATTTTCAAAAGTAAGAGGGTTTATGAGCTTTGGCAAAGGATAGAACATGAATAAGAAGGGCCAGATAATTTTAACAGGAGGTTTTGGCTACTGGATTTGCAGCTGCAGTGAGAACACAGGTGGCTGATGATGATGATGATGAGAGAAAATGTAGACAACGTGTGTGGTGAATACTTCCAGTATCTCTGTAATGTGCCAGGAGACTGCAAGAAGTCTGCATAGTTGTCACATATGATTCTCAAGTCCTAAGGATGAGTGTCCAGGCACTAAAAGGAGAGGAAGATGCTAAATCTGGCCACAGTTCCCTGAGAAACCCCTTCCTGTACATAAGCTCCAGTGACTTTGACGGTTTATGATGTGGACTATGCCACCATTAAAAGGTTCGGATTTTTATATTTATTAGAAAATACTGCATGAGTTCAAATCTCCTCCTCCACATTTTGCAAATCCTCCCTTTTTGGACTCAGATATTTATAGAAAGAAAAATTCCCTAGAGCATTTTAGAAAAGTTCTCTGGCTTTCAACACTTCTTCTCATCTCTTCTTTCCAGGAGAAGAGATTGAATAAATGGATAACTTGTAATTCATACCTGCTGCCCTGTTACAGATCATTCATACTCCCACCTCAAACTCTAATTTACTAAAAGTAAATTTCTCTTCAGATAATCATGTTTTCCCAAACATGAGTATGCTGGGAAAATGGAAAGAGTATATTTCACTGGTTAGATAACTTTTTTAATGGACATTTGGATTTATTTTCAAATTCAAATTTAATTCCACATGCTCCAAAATATATTTCACATCAAGGATTCTGTTTGATTTGGCTTTTGCACTTTTTCCATTTGTTCTTTTGATGGAAAAAAAAAAGTTTGGGATAGTTACAAGAATAATTTTCCTGGAAATTAATGTTTTAATTTTTTTTCCTGTGAAGGTTAAAAACTCCTGCATACATTGTGTTAATATTATTTAGCATTTATTAATTACTGCTATTTCCCTAAGTATAGACTTTATCAAGGGCAATCAAAAGGGCATTGAAAGATGTTTCTTTCCTACATGTGACTTGCAAGAGCAAAGAATGAAGAGTGATGACACTGTGTGTCAATCTTTGCTGTAGCCAGTACTCCAAATTATGACTTTATTATGTTGATTCATTTTAGAGACGTGGGAAAGAGAAAAATGGAATTAAATGAAGAAATATACAGTGTGTGTGCCTATGGCTCAAGAGAAGGCCATTGCAACACTTCAAGGGAAGCAGTAATGAAACCTTACTTTTAAAGAAGAAGGAAGAGGAGGAGAGGAAGAGAAAGAAGGAGGAAGAGAGAGAGGATCAGGCCTGGAGCCCTGTCCCCGTTCCCAACCTCCCTCCTTCCCGGAGTGTGAGAGAAGCAATGAAGCATGATTTAAACGATCTCAAAGCTGCTAGTGTTCCTGTAAAGCCCATAATCTTGCTACAGAGTGGAAAGCATCTCATGAACTGCAAAGAAGCTTGTTTAAACTATTTTTTCCAAACTGTTTTCAGATTAGCCAGGGAGGGCTAACACTTTCTAGATAAAGCATTTGCACAGCCTTGTTTCTTTCTGACTGTTCTTTCTCCCCCCACATCCATTCTATTTTTGTACACTATCTGGAAGAAACTATCTTTTTGGACTAATGACCAGGTCTCTGTACCAGTGGCTTCATTTTTCCCAATTCTCTCCCATACTCCTCCCCTTTGAAGGGACATTCTACCACTTTTTTACGACTTGCATCCAACAAAATGAGACAAAGAGCACCTGTTTCCGACATGCACAGAAACTCAACCAAATGCCCACCTCTCCTCTTTGGCTGGTTAGCATTTTTTCCCATATGTGTACATCTACATACTGATTTTTTTCTGCTCTCAAACGATGACCAGAAAACATCAAGGACATCCTAATTCTAATTATACTTTTTAGTTTTTTTGATCTAATCTATACTCATCTTATTTCTTTAAATTGAAAATGATATCAGTTCAAAACCTTAGATACAAAATGAAAGAAAGGATCAATAAGTAATAAGTTCTCAGTGATTTTCCAAGGGCTTTGTTCCCTTCTAGGAAACAGAATCTGAAAACGGCAGCCACCTTTGGAAAAGCCACCACCCACTAACGTCGAAGTGGGAGCAAAAATAACATACTGGAAAAAGAGA